TAGCTATGCAGGATGGAATGATGAGTGGACAGGGCTTTATGCAGCGGCTTAGGAATCTCACACCGCTTCAGCGACAATTGACACCCCCTCCCCAGATGCAATTGGTCGAGTCAGAGGATGAAGACGAAGAACTGAGAGCTGACAGGCGAGAGGACGAAGGACGCTATTTGGATCACGAAGAGGATCAGGACGGCGATGAAGATGAAGATGGATATGGATATGGCAAGGGCGGACACAGCGCGTACCATACAACAACATCCGTCTCGGGTCAGGCTGGACCCAGAAAGTACGCGCTCTACCAGGCAGACGATGAAGAGGAGAGCGACGATGGATATGATGATCGGAATTCGAGTCGACCCAATGCTCAACCTCGCGACAACATTGTTACCGGCGCTGCGCATCTCGACATGCGGCAGGATTCTCCTCGCGTTGACGGCTATTACCCCCAAACTCTTCACACAGAGGCGCAAGAAAATGCTCAGAGATACACGGAGCGATCAAGAAACGTGCAAGAAGAAATGGTCCAGGAAGCCCCGGATGCGTATGACCACTTATCTGACGACGACGATGATGAAGGAAGTCTCGAGCACCTTCTCTCGGCTCACAGGGAAACCCCATCGTCTCCGCCGCCGCCGCCGCCGCCGCCTGTCGTCCAAACACCACCAAGTCGTTCTAATAGTGGGATGCAGAAAGGAAAGATCGATGTTGAATCAGCAAGGAGCACATCGTCGGAGCAGAAGAGGGTTGTACAGGAACACGCCCAACTGCTTGAAAGAAGCATTGATTCTTGGAAGCAAAATGTAGATGATGTGGTTAAGGAGGAGCAAGCAGAGGATGATGGGGATGAAGGGGAGGTGGCGGATGAAGTTGTCTGGGAGATGAGTGAAGAGTCTGAAGTCGATGCCCCTGCTGCATCACGCACGGTGCCCGATCGCCAAACTGATGAATGCGACGAGGAGACTCACAAAACAGGCCATGGGAACGGCAGTGGTATGCAGGAGGAAAGCGAGGTGATCCCCGTAATTGACCCGAGTGCGCAACTACGACAACAGCAGATGGAGCAGGAGTTGGACCGCGACACGACAAATGCGCTATTCCAGGGATTCTACGAGTCGCAACGGATCGAAGACTTGGATGTGGTTGGCCTGTCGCAATGGGCTTCGCCGCCTCGACAGTCCAAGGATGAAACTACTACTATTTTTGTTACTGCTGCTGTCGAAACGGGATTGGTCGACGATGTTGATGTTGCTGATGTTGCTGCTGACATGAGAGCGAAGGAAAGGGAGGACAAGACGGTGGATTCAGAGGAAGGCCAAGGCATGACGATGGAGGTCGAGGAGGATGATATCTCGTGTCTTGAGGTTGAGGGCTTTGATTATTAAAAAGCTCACGCACCCCAGCTAGCTGGGCGGGCATTTTTGCGCTTGGTTTAGTTTGTGATCGATCGGAAACGAGGGCGAAAGTAGAGGATGGCATGTGCGTTTTTCACTCGGTAGGTGGGGGATATTTGTTTTCATTTCGCCAAGTATTAATCGAATGGCGCTGACGACAAGGTACGAGGCACAGACATGTACGACAGTATTTTACCATTGACGTGGCGAAGGACAAAAGGGCCAAGGCACATAAGACACGGAGCGATGATGACCAAGACAAATGTAAATCCCAAAAAAGGGTTTTAAAAAGGGGATGAGATAATTTAGAGGTGAGCACTTGACGAGAGGAATGAGTGAGCATAAGCATGAGCAAGAAAGTGTGAAGGGAAAAAGGTGTCGGGCAATCATAGGATAGCCAACCAAGCTTTGCTGATAAAAAAAAATAACAAATCTAGGGGTGGTTTGCTTTAGACAAAAGAACAAGACAGGTGAGCTGAGCGTGCAGGAGCAGGAGGTAAGGTGGGATTGGGTGAGAGGATTGGGTGGGAGGATTGAGTTTTTGATAGGCGATATTTGGTGGGAGTGGGAAAAGGGGGAGGGAGGATGACCATGGTCGAGAAATCACACGTGGGAGACACGCCCCTCTCTTGCTTTGATTTTTCATGTGGAGGAGGGTTGCTGCTGGTCGGACTTTTGTATGTGTTTTCTTTTATCAAACAAACTAGCCCCTGCCGCCTGCACGAAGACAAAGGTTACATGTTGGTCAATGGGCAGGGACAGGATGATAGGCAAGGGAAGGATAGGCTAGGAAAGTGGAAGAGGAGGAGGGAGAAGACCATTGGGTCTGTTGGGTGCATGACGCTATTTCTTTGCTTGAACATGTCTTTTTTTCTTGCAAAGATAAAGTAAACAGACCAGGCAGTAATCCTCATACTCTCAGACCCTTTTTTGTTGCCCAATGCAACGACCAACAAGCAGATAGGTTGGGACGGACGGATAGAAAGAAAAAAAATATGCATTTGGATGCATATGTGTTATGCGTTCGGTAAGAAGGAAGCAAAAGCGGCGGCTATCAAAAAAAAATGTGGGATGAGGTGGTTGGAGAAAAGGGGAAGAGTGGGGGGGGGAGGTGATTTTGACGGTTTTCGCGATTAGGGTCTTTCAATCTTTCTCTGGTTGTTCCCCTAGTGCCCCTGTTTGCTTTGCTGGCGCTTCTTTTCCCCCTCACAGAAAGAGGAGGTATAGTCTCCTAGCTGGGACCCTACTACGAACCATGTGTTTTCATGTTCAGTTTTTGGTTGCCCAATTGATGATGATTTTTTTCTTGTTTATGGAACATGTTTGTTTGTATTTCTTGCGAGAAGGGATCTCATCTCATCTTGTTTTTTTCTCTCTCTTTCTTCAACGTAATCGTCCTTTCCCGCGTTCGATAGGGGGATCGTACGAGAGTGGAGTGACAAGGAGTAAACAAGAAAGGTGTTTTCTATCCGGTGTGTGGGAAGAAAACAAACAACAAAAGAGGGCAAGTAAAAAGTAAGGACGTAGGAGAAGAGACCGACAAGCGAGCTGAACAAGAACAAGATCGATGTCGATGATGTTATTATTCTGATACAGAGCCCTTGAATATTCCCTTCTGTGTGGTGACAAGGGTTGCACAAGCAGGGACATCCAAGGAAGGGACTGGCATGAGGAAGTGAAGGGTTATATGAGCATGGCCGGTCAATGGCAGGGAGAGAGTGAGAGAAGGGTAGTGATAGACCGATGGAGAGAGAGAGGGAGACACGCGTGCGTGTTGATTATATATATTACTCTGGGGCATTGGCAGACAGACAGACAGACAGACAGACAGTGAGACTACTGTAGAGTGGTGCCAATTCAATAGTACGTGAATGTGTGCTCGTGTTCGCTATTCTTCACCATGTCCGTCCGGCTTGTCCCTCGGGTTGATATCATGGGCTGGGTCCATGCTCTTCTTCTTGGCCACTGCCTCGTGAATATTGTCTCTTTTGTTCACTCGTTCACTCTCTGAAGCGCTCTTTCCTTCCCTTTATATCTCTCCTTTCCCTCTCTTTCCCTCCCTTTTGATCGCCTTCTCTTTGTTTCTTTCTTGACTCTCTTTATCAGTCTCGCCTCTTCTTTTCCTTTTCCTCACTCTTCTCTTCTCTTCTCTTCTCTTCTTTTCTCTTCTCTTCTCTTTCTCTCTTCCCTCTTCTCATTCCCCCGCCTTCTTCTTTCTCCACCTCCAATACACTTCCCTCTCCTCGGCAACTCATCCTCCTTCTTTCATCCCTCTTGTTGCCACCACCTCCTTTCACTTCACTTCACTTCACTCTTCACATTCCTTTCTTTGCTTGCCACCTCTCTCCACCTTCCTAATCAAACAAAACACTCATCCAAACAATGTCACAGAGGCATCAACACTCGGCTGCAACGCTGCATCAGGAACTCGACAGCCTCACACACCTCGACAACAAGCCCGACCTTCTGCAAACCACTCCCTCTTCCCCTTCTTCCTCTCATGCCCTTCCTGTCGACAATAACAGTGTTCCTTCTCCCCTCGTTGTACAACGACGCTCCTCCCCTCCCCCAACACCTTCACAACAACTACAAGATACCCACATCAACAACACCGACCCCTCTTTTTCAAGTCATACGCCCTCCTCCTCTTCCTTAATCGACGGCTCCCTCTTGTCAGCAGGATCATCAGGTTCAGGGGCAGGGGCAGGGACAGGATCGATACCGTCCTCACCACCCCTCCTGCCTTCGTTTGTTTCTGGAGGAATTAATAGTCTGGAAGAACTTGGTCATGCTTCGCGCCAGTACTTTTCTACCTTCTCCACTTCGCCTGAGAAAGTAAGTTTTTTTTATATTAGGCAGCACGTCTTTTTTTGGTTTTTGGGCTTACCCTCTTTTCATTTCTCTCGTGAGTGAGTGAGAGAGTTAGAGAGGGTGAGCTGCTCCTTTTTGGATGGACAACACGTTAGAGGATTATTATTATTACTTTGCTGGGGGAGGAGAGGAAAGGGGATAGATAACCTCTTGTGTTGGCCAAGTGAGTAGATCGAGACTACTCCTCCTCCCTCTCTCTTTTGGCATTTAAAAGGTGGGGTATACAAGGGGAAGGGAGGGAGGATGATATGCCACCGATAAAAGAGAGGGTGGTCTAAAAAACATATAGAAAAGGACTAGCAGAGCCATCGCGGCAGGGTCTTTGTTCCTGCCTTCGTTGACATTCTTGGTTGTTCGTCCTGTCAGTAACCCTGCCCTGCCCTGCCCCCGCACCACCCATAATGTTGCTTTTTATCGCTTTTCCCATGCCCTTCCTTTCCTTGTGATCGTGGTTATGGGTTGGCTGCTTTGAAATAGGAAAAAAAAGGAATCAAAACAGGTGAAGAGGAAGGGGAGAGAGAGAAAGAAAAAAAATGCATTGGACTATGGTGCATGCTAGAGACCACATCGCAATCGATTAGACCAAAACGCAACAGCAACAGAATGTGATTATCTTTCTTATCTATCGCTTGTCTGTTTCTGCTTTGCTAACATTCACATTCCTTTTGAACGGGGGTATCATTCCTTTCTTTCTAGCTGAACCACCTTCAGGGCTTGATGACTTCTTTGCACACCATCATGAGCAACCAGACCTTTGCTACAGGCGACCTCAGAACCCAATTGGACGAGTAAGTCAATTTCCCCACACTTGGAAAAACAAAGTCCGTCAAAGTGTACAAATGCACCGTCGTCATTCTTCTTGACAACTCACCTCTTTCTCTTCCTTCCCTCTATCCCTTATGCATTGCTCACAATAGGATTCAAGAAGTCCTTGACAGGGTCAACCCCAAGCAGGAAAACATGACGACAGAGGAGCGACAGATTGTTCAAAACGCACAAATGATGAAGGTGAGTGTTTACTTACTCTTCTTGCATCGATCGCATGCATGCTAAAACGTACCCTTCTTACTGCCAACATCACCATGCCCAATGCACAACCTTTTAGTATCCCCAAAACTCACCTTCACACCTTCATTCGTAACTCCCTCCAAAATAGGACCTGGCTGAGGATGTGATAGCTACAAAACTTGCGTCGGTATCACAACAACACAGGAAGGACTCCATTCAGGATCATCGGCCAAACGCACCCGCATCTTTGACCCTCTCATTACCATCCTTGTCTGGTCACCCCTTCGACCCAACAGAGGCTCCACCACCAACAGCAGCAACACCTCCCCCAGCCAACGCCTTCCCGAAGGGCCATCTTCGCCACAAATCCTCGACCGCTTCAATGGCTTCCTCCTCTGCGGACAGATCATATACCCCCGAGGGCGACGACCGTCTCTCTCGTCCCTCATCTTCCTCTTCCGTCCGCCGTCAACAAAAGAAAAAGTCTCGCCAATCTCTCCGTCAACTCGAACCTTTGAATGACGGAGAACAGGGCACCAGCAAGGTCGAGGAAGAAAATAATGCTGCGTTCGATCGAATCTGTTCTCTTCTCACTCATCTGATTACAGATGCTTCAACCGCTGTGAGCACTGCTCCGGGAGGCTCTCAACAGCCCTCCAATATACCCATCCCGCAGTTCTTGCCCCTCGTCACATCCGATTCTGAATCATCCACCCACAGCGGCGCCAGCGATGATGATGACGAGGATGAGCCTGATCAGGATACAGTAGCAGTCAAAGCAGCAGACAGCGGCAATAACGATACCCAACCTCAGGACGAGTTCATCAAGCGTCTACAGGGTCCTGAGGGTGTGCCACCCCAGGAGGAGCTCGAGTTGGAAATCGAAGACCCCAAGCCCAGTATTCGCTACAGGAAGAGCCTTCGATCCCGTTACGACCAACCCACCAAGCGCCTCTCCAGCCTCTTTATGGAGCTCTCCAACACTCAAAAGACGGGCGACAACTTGCAGGATGAGCTCTTATCTCCAAAGATCTCGTCCGAAACCAAGAACCTGGACAGTGAGCTCGCCGCCAAGGAGAAGCCTGTCAGGAAGCCTAGACACTCGGTTTCGTCTCTCTCCATCTCCTCGACTCGCTCTTCTCGACCCAGCAGTGTTTACGTCTCCACCAACGCTCGACATGCTGATTCAGCGGATGTTCAATTAAATTTTGATGGCCAGCCCTTGTCTCCAAAGTCGGCACCCAGACACCGCGCCAGCACATCCTCCCTGCGCTCCAGTAGATCATCCTCGCAATCCGATTCTTTGCCCAACGATTTGGAAGTTCAACAGGTCCTCCAAGGAGTCAACTCGGAGCTGGACCGGACTGTCGAGACCATCGACGGCCTGACGCGGGATTTGGTCGCTGTGGCAACTCATCAAAACTGGATGCAGATGAAGTTGCAAAAGACACTGCAGTTTCAGAAGCAGCAGGTGGAAAGGATCGATGTTGCTCTCTCCAACTCGACCTCTCATCGCACTTTGCCTGCAGCCCAATCTCGGGAGTTGAACCAGCGCCATCACCAGACGACGACGTTGAGCAGTGATCCTATGGGGCAGCATCACCCCCTGGCGGACCTTTCCAGAAGTCTCAAGCAAGTTGCTGTCAGTGTTGGCAAGGTCTTGGCCAACAGCACCCCTTCGACCGCACCTCGTAACCGCCTTGTCGAGAGTCTTCATGGACCTTCAGAGTCAGAGGACAGCACAACCACTGTTCGCGGAGGTCGATCAACACCCACCCCTGCCAACCGTAAGGAGTTTACGCGGTACTTCCAAGAGCTGGAAAAAGTCGCAGCGATCGGAGGAAAGATGGGGTTTGACAAGACGGATGTCGACGGCTTTGATACTCGGGAGTTGTTGGGTGAGTCGTTGGATCACCGTCAGGAAAATCATTACTCCTCGGACTCTCACCATTACGACAGCGACCAACAGCGGGAATCTACGAGCTCCGGCAGAGGACAAGAACAGAATTCGGCTTACCATTCTCGCAGAGGCAGTGGCGCTTCTGCAGCAGGACCACCCGAGCTGGAGGACTTTGCGGCTCAGTGTCGTCTGTTGACGCGTGCTCTGGTTCTTCCCTTTGTCCAGTTGACACACCATGCGATGACTAGCCAGGATTCGGCTTTGTCGCTGACGCCCCGTTCTAGCCGCTTTACCGATCAGTCCTCCGCCTATGACAATGCGACCTTGGACATTATTGAGGACCTGGAGGTCAGCTCAGGAATCAATCACTCCAAGCACCCGTCCACGACGTCATCTACCGGCACGCGTCGCTCATCTTTGAACAGTGCCAGTCATCATGCCTCCACACCACGCGAAAAGAAGCCATTCTCCCCTCTTTCGTCGCCGCTTCTCCCAGCTGCTTGGACTTCTTCCTTATCGGTCAGCGGACGCGATTTGGATGCGATCTTCAAGGGCCAAGGCGAGCTTTCGACCGACGCGATCGTCAAGGCCAGATCTGTCATCTCGACTGGGCTCTATTTGATTCATCTCCTCTACTGGACAGCCCTCTTTGTCATTGGCACGATTGTTCTGGATCCTTGGCTGGCAGAAACGGCTGGACAGCAGGTTGTTCGGATTGTGGAGCAGGTTCGGAATGCCGTTGCCAAGGATGGTATTATCGGACAAGGAATCCATCGTGCCATTGATCAGGGCCACCAACAGCTTCGTCATCGACATTCGTTTGAGCAGCAACAGCGCGATGCAGCGAGTGGGGCCATCACGGATTCGGACTTGATTGACGATCACCTTTCCTTGGATCAGGATCTCCGCCGCTCGACCTTCTCTTTGCGTCAGCAAAGCAGCAACCACTGGAACGCAGTCGACGATGACAATGTTGCCGCCGCACCTGATTCTACTCGTCTGCAGGATCTGGAGGATCGTGCCATTGAGGTCGCAGTTGGATTTGAATCGCTCAAGCAGCGCCTCGGATCCAGCCCTGGATCTACCAGCAGCACCCGATCGAGTTTCCGACCCATCAGCGGACTTTGGAGCCGGCCCAACAGTTTCCAGTCCACCGCCTCGGCTCTGACTGAGGCGACTATGGGCGGTAGGACCCTATCGCCCGACTCGCCCCTTGGGCGCAGCAACAGCCAGAACAAGGAGCGACCTCTGTCCCAGGTCTCTGCAGCTTCTTCGTCGACGACGGAGGGTAGTGTTTTGAGGACCATCTCCTGGGCTGGTCCCAGACGCCGCCGCGCCACTCGCGACGGTAACAGTGGTACCCAGGCACGTGTCCGTCGGTACTCGAACAATTCTCGTGGAGTGAACGTGCCTCTCAAGGCCGGCGCCGCAGGAGGAGAGTTTGCTGTGCCGACTGTGACACTCCGTCAGGGTCTCAACGTCCGTCGGGACCGTCCTCAGACTCACTGGGGTACATTTGAGTCGTCATCGTCTGTCTTTTCCTCGGACAACACTAGTTTCGGATTGGGCCATAGCCGTGGACCTTTCCGCGAGGCGTCGTGTTCGATCTCGTCCACGGCTTCTTCGTCCACTACCCTGTCAGAGTTCATTCTGCCACCTTACAACATGACAGCTGGAGGTACAGACGTGGGCAAGGTCAACTTGGCGGCCAAGGCGTACAATTGGGTACAGACCGGAGCTGCTACTGCGGTGGAAGGAGTTGAAGGCGCCGTTCATTCCCAGAGCCGCCGTAGGTCCATGTAGATTTCTCAGGAGCAGTAGGATTAGAAGACACCCATTCCAAAAAAAAAAAAAAAAAATACAACCATGTACAAAACCCATTCAAATTATTATTTCTTTTCTAGTGTTCGTGGCCCAATTGATTACGGTGATGTTTTGGGACTTGTTTGCTCCTACCTTGAAAGTAAAAAAAAATAAAAACTCTTGATAGCAGCATGACCATGAATGAATGCACCATCACTTTTTATCACTTTCTTGGTCGCGTGGTTTTCTTTTCTTTTTATTCTTGAAGGTTTGGGGCTTGTTTGATTCTCACAGGTTCTCCTTCTTCCCTCTTCGACTCTCGAAACACCCCTACCAATCGCAAAAACTGTCAACACAACCAAATTCCCAGCGCGTAACCGGCGCCCACAACTTTCAGAAAAAAAAAAGGGGGGGGGAGCCCATGTGCTTCATTCTCCTGTACCTCCATATCCCCTAATCACGTAATCTTACAGAAAAATAACGGGGAAGTGTGAATCTAAACGAGATCTACACCCTCAAACAAGTTTTTTGATAAGAAAGAAAAAAAAAAAAAAGGCCGATTTATGGGGGGTTGAGAGAGATCCGTGTACGACAAGTTTGTTGTTGGGACTGAAGACAAAAAAAAGAAGGCGTGAGGGATATCGCCAGGTGTGTCGCCATCGCCTGGATCGCAGCGACCCCCTCCCCCCCCCCCCCCGCTCGTCTCAAAAGAATTAAAAAAAAATGCGCCATGTGTAGTTTCTTCGAACAGGCTGGTGGTCCTATCGCATGTCTGCTAGTTTTTTACTAGCAGAAAAAAAGTAGAAAAAAGTCGAACAAACCCCATTTAATGGGATCTTGCAGTAAATATTTTGCATGTCAGACAGAAAAATCAAAGTTGTTGGAATGATGATGATGTCCTCCATTATCGACGATTTCAAAGACTTCCAGATACTCCTCGATGATGAAGATGATGGGAATGAAGAGGAGTTGTTAGAGACTTTCATCCACACTACGAGACCTTATTCGCATGGTGTTACGCTTGATAGATACGTGAATCCTGGGGTAGCAGGCAATTTAAACTTGGGGGATTATTTTTTTTGCTCTTGTGGTTCTTAACCGAGTACGCCACGGATACGACAACGACTTGGTCATCCTTAAATACCACGTTCAAGTATCCTTGCAGGCAACAGCACACCTCTCCATAGAACTATAACGGTGGATAATTGTGACCAAGCTGGGTGATTTGGAAAAGGTTTCTTACAGATGATGACTCTTTTTGCATCCTTCATGGCCCGGTTCCGGCAAAGTCTGAAGCCATGTCACAAAAGAAACCATTACTACTTATCAACAGCATATTTTTGAGCTCACCTTGAGAGGACATCCCAGCGGATCTGTGAAGACACTCACGATGGGAAAAAATATCCCCACGCCTGATAAACACGTCATATGGTGACTACGATTGTGTGTTCAACTGTATTGCCATTGCTTATGTCACCAAGAGAAAATACGTAAGTTCCTAGAGATTTTTAAGAAAGTTTGCGAAAGTATCCGCTGATTTGGGTCCCCCATCATAGCCAAATTGGGTGGTACTACTTGCTTGTGTGTATGGAGGTATGGTGAGCTACGATGTTGATGAAACCCGAGACGCGCGCGTTAAAGGTCTGAAACTCGTCGCAGAAGAAAAAGAATGCGGAGGTCAAGTTGGTCATCAAAAACTCCCACTATTAAGTTCTCATATCTGAATACGATTTGGACATACAACTGCATGGACTTCATTAGTTGGTGGTGGACTACAAAGAAATATTGGATATGAAGATAAACAGAGAGAACGTGATCTTTGCCTACTGTTTCTCCTATATAATATATGACGCTCTGTCAAACGACATGATCAAGAACGTCGCCATACTAAATGGAAACAGCGAGGAAGATTTGGAAAACTACTACAGCACCATAAGAGATATATTCAACGAAGTCAGCGCCAATAGAAAAGGGAAAAAATACATGATCGGCTACAACAATGGGTTGGAGAACATCACACACGCCAACACGGGCACGATAGCTTTAAACAACATCTTTATCCTGAAGAAATGGACTTTCCATGACGACGTATCCGTGTAACGACGATGTTTTTTTTTGTTGAAAGTGAAAATAAGAAAAGAAGAGCAAGACGACCCCATGGAGAACGAGCTACAATTGACTATCTTCTTTCGCCAAGGGCGGAGATTGGAGTTCTCCTATCGCCCCACCACTTGCATTTTTTCTTTAGACGAATTTATGAAGTCCATCAGTCATCGCGTGTCTGAAGTAGGTTGATCAGTGAAAAAAAGAAACGACTTCGCCACGGCTAGAACTCTAATCCCCCCAACAAGTATTACTTACTACAGAAAAAAGAAAAGAGCGAAAACGATGCGGCAATATCGTTCATGAATGGACGGGCATTTATTGTTTGAGTTGCAGTGGTTGTCGAAAGTCTAGTCACATCCCGAATCTATGGTACAAGCAACAATATCGAATGAAAAAACGAGAAGAATAACAAAAAAGTATATCTGCGAACGTCAGTTTGAGTTTAAGGTGTCGTACCCTAGCTGAAGGGGGGACTTTTGTTGTCCGAGTCCGGGGATCGCTCATCAAGTTGTTGAAAGTGGAAGAAAGAGACAACGCCGCGCAAAAGATCTGGACATCATCTCTGCAGTCACTTTTTTTTTCTTTCAATGTCTTCAAAAAGTATGAAATTTGAACACATTAACTTATCCTTCAACAAGTTATGATCAGAGAAAGTAAAAGAAGATGGCGTGAAAAAGTCACCAGGAAGTCGAATCACCCCTGTGACCCTGTTTGTGTTGGTTCCAAAGGTCGATTGTCGTTGAAATTATTAATCCGTGTCCAACAAGGGTTTTTGTGAAATCGAAAAAAATGAAGGCCAGAGACTAAAGAGGTGAAGAGATTGCCGTTGTTCTATTGTAATGTGGTTGGAAAGGCCACCACTCATCTTTGGTTAATCGAAAACGTTTCTGGACAGTGCAATGGAGACATCAAAAAAAGGTGCGGCATCGTCCCTGACTCGCTTCTTTTCTTGGGCGTGAAAACGTTCGCAAATCGTCGCCCTTTCTTATTCATGTCTTGTCTGTGCCTTCGAATATACGAGGAGAAAAGTATGTGTCACCATCGAGATGCAAGATCCACTTTACTCAAACAAACATTACACAAAATGAAGTGTCGAGTTACTCCCAAAGAGCATCCACGGCTATTAAAAAAGGATATTATTGCCTTGTTAACACAGAGCTACCAAACCATGCCTCCCTCTGGAGATAACGTACGAATCAGCAATGCGCTTGTATGCAAACTGTAGGGTGGCATGTGTTTGTGTTCGCAAGGAATGGAGGCGAATCTTTACATCGTTATTATGGGAAACGCTCGGTCACTCTCAATGGAGGAGAGAAACCCTTTCTTTCAATCACGTCCAACACCCTAGATTGAAGAAGGCGGTCTTCAACCCCCCCCCCATTGGGTTCGACAATTGGCGTGGGATTCCATGGACACGTCGACGTTTCCAGAATGGATGAGAGGCAGACTATTTGGTCTTTTCTTGGTGCTCCCTAATCTCAAGTCATTGAGAATGTCGTCGCGTATGACTAGGGTGACGAGGGGTGGTTCCGGATGCACTGTTGAACACGGACAACTTTACATCGCTGGTGGAGTTGGACATCGCGGTGGAGTTGAGCATCGCTGGTAGAGTTGGACTTCGACCTCACTGCCCCTTTTGTCCTACATAGTGTTGCCACTGCTTTCGAATGACATTGCTCAAATAATACAATGGCCACAAGAACTTCGACTCCCTCCGCTTCAACGACCGCCTTTTCAACCTCCTCGAAAGCCGCCACTACCAAGTCCAATGCATCGGAGTCGGTCCCCCAAAGTCGTCTCCACTTCGCCCTCCAGCGCCCTCCGCAACCGAAGTCGAGTTGAATTGTCGCAAAATATCTCGACAATATCCGAAGCCCCCTTCTCCAGCGCCCGCCACAACTGATGTGGAATTGTATTGTCGCAAGATGTCTCCACAATATCCTCTACTAACAATACCCTCAGTGCTTGCTGCATGCTGAACTGAAAAGAAAAAGAAATAAAAAGAACGTGTCGAGATAGTCCGGTTTAGAGGCACTCTATGCCGGTTGATGTCATGGGTCAGGTTTGCATTGTCCAGAGAAAAGGAGGGGCCTCATTGCGATAAAAAGGTTGACAAGGTTTACCTTTTGCTTCTTCACCACTTTTCATCCCCCTTTACTTTTCTCATTCCTTCTATCACCACGTACTTTTTTGCTACTCATCACCACTTACATCACGACACCATCGGTAAATAACACTCTCTCTCTTGAGAGAGATAGCAAAGATGTCGCCTTACGCCAGAAATGTCATCCCATTACATTCACTAACACATGTCTCTGCTAGCCGATGCACACCTTCAGGTTCACAGCCAAGCAAACAGGAGACATATATCGAAGCTTGTATCGCAGACTTTCTCGATCATGAACGCACAAGCGTCATCAACCTCTTTGTCAAACTCTGCAAGGTGCATCACTCCTTAAACGACAGACACACAGGTCACCAAAAAGGGTGAGCACCATGGAGATGACCAGTAGACTATCGACCTACAACAGTTCAACTCTTTCTTCAACCCGCTCCTCCTCTCACCACCACCACCACCACCACTGTTGAATTGCCTCAAGATCACTATGCAGACGCACTCTGCCATCCACGGTTCGTCCTCGCCTACCACCGATACGACCAACAGCGGGAATGTCAACGGAAGAACAGGCAATTGTGCCTCCCGCCGCGAAGGACTGACACGCTCGGCCTCTGTGGACTCGACGTCTCGCGTTTCGAAATACGGTTGGTTTATGACGACCCATCGACTGTGCAAGGCGAGTATTGAAGAGCAGGCAGTGCCGAGTTTTATGCTGCATTCACATGACAAGTCGTTGGACAGTTTTGTCGCGAATGTGACTTGGGCAGTGATGGTGTTTTGGTTGGCGGGCGAGGTTGAGTCTTGGAAGGATATTTCTGAGGAGGATGTTGAGGGAACCACGGTGTTCTTGTAGACATGGAATTTAAAGAAAGGGGGGCCTGGGAAGAGTAAGTTTGAGAGTGATGATGAGGAAGGGAGTGCTGTTGTTGGTGGCGTTAATGGATTTGATAGGGCGGGGCAGGATTGGTTGGAGACGGTGACGAAGCTGAATGGACAGGGACAGCCGAGTGGAAAGGAGATGAGTCGATCGACGTTTTCTGAACTGGTACCAGCAGACGGTTGGGTACCAGATCATATCTATCGGGAGGTAACACCACCGCAGGCATCTTGGTCCTCTTCCATAAATAATTTGAACCCATTCGTAAAAATTGTACATGTACTGAACATCGGAATGAGGCTAATGCTTTTGCTCGTGCAGCTGTGTGAGAGGGGAGGAAGCAAAACGTTTTATTATTCCAGTTCCAGCTGCCTGCTAAAGTCACAGGCGGTAGCTTGTTTTCCTGTCAAAAGAAGGGTCACTTGTTTTCCCTTCTCGAGAAGGGAATGAAACAGTGGGCGAGTTAGGTTTGGGCGACGCGTTCTCATTGGTAGGTGACGTCGTAATTCTCTTTACCTGAAGTGAGAGAAACAGGAAAATAGTAAAGCCAGGCACCATCAGTTACAGATATCTCATTCTTCACGTGCACTCGTCGGCACGTTTGTTATTTCGTCGAGAGAGCGTGCATGATACATGGTGCCAACAAAGAAGGTTTACTCCTTCCATCTTCTGCCCTATTGCTTTCACTTGCATTTGTGTGGGATGGCCAAAGAGCATTAAGGTCACATGCTCATTGTTCTTGATTTTTGCCACCAATTCGAAAAACAGTGCCTTGGCCAAACAGGACCGATGGACAGAGAGATAAACAGACGGTCGGTAATACAGAACGGAGCTGGTTTTGTTTACCTTGCGATCACCTTGCTGAATGTCGTTCTTCTCATTCACTTCCTGTTGGCTGATGCGAATGATCGGAAGGGAGACGAATGAGACGAATGGAAACAGGAATGCAATGGAACGAATGAATGAACTAAAGAGCTGAGTGAAGGAGGGGAAGAGTGGAGAGAATAGAGTATAGAGACAGTCGACGAATGAGCCGTGGGAGGATTGTTGTAATAAAAATGTCTTGTGCCTGACCCTGTCCGTTGTGTATGTTGTTTGATGCCCTGTTGCATAGTCGTTTTGGCTCCTGTGTGGGCCCTCATTACTTAAATGACCCTCGATTGTTCATGTGTGGCGCCCTTCCTCCCTTGTCCCTACTCTCTTTTCTCTACCTTCTCACGCGTCCGGGTAGCACTTGCGTTTTTTTATGACTGATAGGTCATCGTTGGCACTTTTTTCATGACTGATAGGTCATCGTCGCCTCTACCCCTTGACAGTCAACCTTGCTTGCCGATATATTTCCTTTTTCTTCCTTTCCTCTTTTTCCTCCTTCCTCATTTTCTTCCTTCCTCATTTTCTCCACCCTTCAACCCATCACGCTTCTCTCTCTTTCCCTTTCCCATTCCTTTCAACCACTTTACTCACAGTCCAGTCCATTATCAACAAGATGTACAACAGCAGCCACAACAACTCCTCAGCTCCTTCTTCACCACTCAATCCTCCATCCTCATCCTCACCCTCATCCCCACCGCGTACACCATCCTCATCACCCTCACTCGCATCACCGCCCAACGTCAAGAGGAAGGATGGCCCCTCCACCTCTCTCGCCAACGATGATGATGTCTTGCCACCTCCCTCCAAGGCCGCAAGGCATTTGAACGAGGCCGATATCTCCAACCAAACGCGCGGCCATTCAGTAAAGAACTTGCCATCTGAGATTCTTTTAATGATTGCAACGTTTTTGGTAAGGAAGGACGTTGTACAGTGCATGCTTGCCTGCAAAAACTGGCAGCATGCACTTTGCCTTTATATCTGGACGGAGATTGGAAGGAATCAATGGATGAATCCATTGTTCCCTCTGGTCGACGGAAAGATAGACGATGATGTATCTTTCGATCATCGTCGTCGGCAAGTCCGCAAGCTGGAGTGGAGCGAGAATGACAACCTCAATCTCTCCAGTGAGAGGATGGCAACCATGTTGCCATTGATGCCGGGCCTGAAAAAACTGTCTCTCACAGCAGCGGTTTTCCAGGCCCCAAGAACCCTTCTCTCCGTCTTACGAAACCATCGATTGCTTACAATGGTGACAAGTGTGGACTTGCACCTGCGGCAATTTGACGGCGAGGACGCGTTGCCGGTTCGTGAGGTTGTTCAAGGGTGCGAAGACCTAGAACACCTGGGCATCAACGGAACATGGTTCCGGGACGAGACCCAACAGGAGATTAAAGCGCATCCTGGATTCTGGAAAATTCAAAGTTTGTCAGTTCCGAGGACGCACTTGGGCCTGCTCTACAGATGCCCTGATCTCCTCGCCCTCGCACTCACTTCCAATCTCACCAACGAGGTAGAAACCGACATCCGACCCATCGCCCAGTGCTTGAAGTTAGAGCGGTTGAAGTTTGTTGGACGAGTGGGTTTTGCTGTCGACGGTTTTGCGGCGGTACTTCCCCAGATGCGTTGTCTAACTTTGTTAGTCATTGACCATATCCAACAAGATCGCTTTGGTCAGCTTGAAGGGTTGAGGGACATCAAGAACGCCCCGGGGTTGAAGGGGTTTGAGTTAGGTCGTATTACGACCCCTGTCCAGGCCCAAGAGTTACTTACGGCAGTCAACCAAGCAATGGTTATATCCATCCTGCGTGCGCGGCCCGATCTGACCAACTTCAAGCTTAAGGGATACACCGTCGATGCGTTCCGGTTCTTCAGTTTGGAAGAAGACGGCCAGTCCATGCCATCATGCCCCTGTCCACGAGTCCGGGAGCTCTGGCTCGAAATCCATGGAGCAATGGAAGTGGTCAGCGCGGAAGTTATGCAGCGAGACTGGGAGCTCACGTATAAACAGGTTAGCCGTATCAAGAGCCTACAGTCGCTCACTTTAAAGAGCATCAGGTTGGACGTCAGCAACACAGGTGGGTTACACTTCTTGACCAACGCGACCAAACTGAAGGAGCTCAGACTGAGCAACCCCTCGGGGCACGTTTGGTCGCTGTCGGAGATAACGAACCTGATGGAGGTCGTTCCTAGATTGCAAATCCTTGACTTGATGCCTCTAACACGCCAGGATCGTGGCAAAGTCAACAAGTACTTCCGCGACCGTGGCAAGGGTTTCTTGTGTTTCTAAACTACCATCGCTCGCCACCCTCCTCCCCGTCCCCTGTGGTCCAAGGACTTCATAACAAATAAAAACATATCCCATTTTCTTTTGCTGATCTCCGTCTTGCGATGGCTGATTTTCTTTTGTCGTCTTTTTTTGTTTGTTTTCCCCTTCGATAAGGGACTTTCCATTGAATTCATTTGACATTTGCCACCCTTCATGCATGTTCAAGTCCCTGAATTTTTTAACAGACGTCATCCATTTCCTTCTTTTCCTTTCTTCCTCCATCCAAACTTCTCTTCCCTTTCGCTTCTCTTCAGTTTCATTCATAATCAATCTTTTTGTCTTCCCACCTTCAACGTCGTCCTTGCTCTTACCTCTCCATCATCCCTGCATCGCCAAGGGTTCAAGTCCTCCAAGCAGGCGTCGCATCAAGACATTGTCAACCAAGAATCCTCATTCGCCTCATGGTCAGCTGCCCAGTTTGCTTCCAAGGAGAGTACCATGATTCTTGCTCTCTTACATCCAATGCAATTGTGACATCTCCATCCATCATGATGATGTCAAAAGAGATGTGTGTTTGCAAAGTGTCTTCGGCCCAGACTCCCCACACGTTTGCACAGTTCTCTCTTCTCCTAACAAGATGCCTGGTACTCCAGGGCTTGTAGGTGGTGGTGAAACTTCCAGTTCAAAACATTACGGTTGTTTTTTGATCGTTGGTAAGATTGCGTTGATAATTGTCTCGAACCCTCGAGTCGTCTCCTCACGTTGATGGCTGTCTGAAAGTATTCGAGTTTGGTCAAAGGTACAATCAACAGCTATCTGTGAGGAGACCAATCTCTTGGAATTTCACGGCATACGCAAAGCGACCGCGAGGGTGGGGGCATGGGAGAGTTACAAGTCGATGTATACTGAAGCTGGGCATATCTGGATCGAAAGATGGGTGACCCCAAGTCTTTTTGATTAGTTCTCCTTTGACTATTGTGAGGGTGTTGGTTGGATCATGGAGTTTGGTTGTTTGTGTGTTTGATATGTCTCTCAGTGTTATCTAACCATTCCTCTCGTTGACTGTCACCGTTTTTTAATAGAGCTGAAGGCCTTCAAGTAAAAGACTTTCCTGCATGTAGGTTGACCTATTTGACACGAAGATGGAACAGAAAGAATCTGTTGGCCTTATTCAACACCGAGGCGACATTTGATTTTCCTTCCATCTATTTCCCTCCATATGGCGATGCAGGTATTGGATGCAAGAGACAATGACCTTTTGAACCTCGATCTAACCATTTTCTATTATCTCTTCTCTTTCATACTCGAGGTGGATACAATGCGAATTATATCAAGAAATATGGAGTAATACAGGAAGCAACAACTCAGGATAGCAAAGCACATGGGTTCATAGGACAGGACGAGAGCATGTATAGCAGGAAGAGATGTTTCAATAAACTCGACGTTGTTTTCACTGACACCAAATGACGCTGTTCAAGGAACAGGCTCAGAATCCCACACCCATTGCTATCCAAAAGGACTCAGCCAAAGGATGTGTGCTTTCCATAGACCAACTCTCGTCGAATACAATACGGGACAGGGAATCACCAAGAATCAAGGTGGGTGCAGGAAATAAGGGTCATATACTATGGTTTCCTCCAACAGCTAGCGATGTTATTCATCCGTAGAGACATTGACGCGAGGCTGGATTGTTGGATCATCGGGTGTTGGCAGAAGAGACGATATCGAATTCCGCTGATGGCTGCTTGACTACAACTGGCAATGGTGCGAGCGTCTTTGAAACGTTGCCAGTTGTGGTATTGTTGGTATCGCGAAGCAGCAGCCTTTTCTTGGGGATCGAAGATGACACAGACGACGCCTTTTGTTAGTGAAGTCGAATTGAGTTGCCAGTAAAAAAAAAAAGATTAGAGTTGAATGAAAAATTGAATCGATATCATTAGAGTCACACACTTGTTTGCCAACCATTGTGTGTAGTTTTGCATTTGGAGTTTCCTGAACATCAGGAGTGGCAGATTCGCCGCTATTATTCTAATTGGGTGTGTGGTCCATGCAATGACGTGGGATGCAAGCGCAAGAAGACACACATGAAGAGAGACACCAGTGTCCTGAACGAGAATACGAAGAAAGAAGGAACGATCCAGAACCATTTACTGCTTGTTGATATTTATTTTTTGTATATTCTGACTTGTTCGCCTTTCTTGCTCTGCTCGGCAGCCGAGATCCATCCCCTACTCATCCTCAGACCCATCGTTAGATCCATCGTCGCCCTAAAGCAACACCCCGTCAAAGGCACAGCGTTGAGATATCAACTCCTGGTGGGATGGGCTCAGACTAGTTACACCCTCAAGAACCACATCTGCGGTGCAAAGCTTCCTAAGATTGGTTCCCCAGAGCATCTTGACGGTCACGGTTCCATCGTTGCTCGACACTCGCCATACTCGGACAGACCTATCGTCGCTGGCTGTGATGAACTCCTTTTGGATAACTGGGTTCCAAGACAGGCTTACGACTCGCACAGAAAACACACGAAGCGTAGCTGCGCAAGACCAGCTTTCGATGTCTCCTTCGACCAACTGACGATGCCAGAGATGCAGAATATGGTCTTTAGAGTGTGCCAGAAACTGACCGCATGGCGAGTAGGCGACACACGCGTATTTAGCAATGGGCTTAAACGAACTGACAGGCACCTTCAATTCCAGACCAGGCTCGTCCGACTGCAGGTCCCACAAGACAATCGAGCGCGAAGTGCCCAAAGCAAGTTGCTGGCCATCGGGCGAGTAGTCCAATACCCGGACCTCATCCTCCTCTAATAGTTTCTTGGACGTCAAGAGAACCCTTGTTCGTGGATCGAAAAGCCAGACTTTTCCATCGTCCGAGCAGACCGCAAGTTGGTGCCCTGTTGGTGAGAACTTCACGGCAATGATCCGATCATTATTGTCTCCACCTCCAACAAGGACGTATTGCTGCTCCGTGCCATGGAGGTCCCATATTCGTACAAGCTCATCGTAGTCGCAAGAGGCGATCCAGCGACCACAGGTTGAATAAGCAAGAATATTCACCGCGCCCGAATGCCCCTTCAAGATTGGTCCAGCTACGCCAGTGCTGCGGTCCCACAATCGCACTGCACCATCCCCGCACCCGGTTGCGACTTGATTGCCGTCCGCCGAAAACGCCACGTCGTAGATCATCTCTGGGTCCGGAAACTCAAACGACACTGATCCGCGCAATCCTGTCGTAGCATTCCCCTGTCGGATAACACCAAGGTGATACATAGAGAGGACAAGTACGTGATCGATAGAGAGGACAGATAGGCCATCGGGAGAATAGGCCACCAGGGCAGAGTCACCGATCTGATCTTGTATCGCAATGCTGGACCTACTGGAATTCACCTCCCATAGTCGCACTGTTCTGTCATTAGATCCCGATGCAATGGTAAGACCGTCCGGAGAGAAGTCAACGTCGCATATATAGCTCAAGTGACCGTCAAACGTCGAAATAATGTCGCCTGTGGATGCGTCCCATAACATCACCCTGCGGTCGTCGCTAGAAGTGGCGATCAATTGACTGTTCGGAGAGAATGCGATTCCAGTAACAGTGATGGTGTGGCCTTGTAGTACAGGACCTGGGCTACCGGAGTGCATATCCCACAACTGCACATTGCCGTCATCGTGGCCGGAAGCTATCCATCGGCCGTCTGGAGAAATGGCAAGACTGTGAATCTCTCCCAAAGAAGGACTCAAGACGACCCCTGGCTCTCCTGTCTTCGAGTCCCAAAGCCGAATCCTCCCATCAAGACTGCCTGATACTAATTGACATCCATTCGGGGAAAACCTGACGCTAGCGACCCAATCAGTGTGACCTTCCAAAACAAAGATGCACACTCCTGTCTCCGAATCCCACAGTCGCACCGCTTTGTCTTGGCTGGCCGAGGCAATATGGTTGCCGCAAGGCGAGTACGCCAATGAGTTTATCCAATCAGTGTGACCTTTCATAGCTAACAACTCCTCGCCGCTTGTGCAATCCCACAACCGAACCATTCCTTCCCCGTCTCCAGATACAATTCTTTGGTTGTCAGGCGAGAACGCGACAGCTCGGACATTTTGAATGGCTGTGAATAGATGAAATCGTTGCCACGTAGAGGTGTCGTAAATCCCGATGCCAACGCCATCACCCAATATCGCCACTCCAAGCATCCTTCCGTCAGGCGAGTAGGCAAAGGCTTCTACGGAACCTTCCGCCTTGAGGTATGGCAGTTCTCCGAACCGGACACCTTCCAGCTGTGAATGGCTCAAATCCGCTTGTCGCAACCAACTTCCCGTGAGATTGACTCTCGTCAGGTCGGCGCCTTGGAACTGAGCAGAGTCGAATTGCCCGTCAGAAAGATCGGCGCCAGGGATCTTGATGCCACGGAGATCAGCTCCGTTGAACAGAACGCCGGCTCTGACCAGGATCGTAATGGCATTGGCGGCGCCGATGGTGGCACTGGAATCGGTTTTGGACTGGTCGATGACAGCGCGGAGGTATACCTCAAAATGCGGGTGGAACCTCACGCGGTCGCACAGGAACTGAATAATCGACGGCTCCTTGAGCAAGTTTCTCTGGAATAAAGGGCCATTGGTGTCGGACGAAAGGGAAGCTGGGGATGCAGTCTCAATTGATGAGTCATAATCCCGCTCGTCAACCTTGGCCGGGTTGTAGATGACGCGGGAGAGGAAATACTCAAGCATGGACCGGTGGACAAAGCGGTATTGGTTCCCAGTGCGCATCAATGGGCTGGCTTCGCGGAGCAGCTTGACCTCAGGGTCAGTACCAAAGAATGCTGCCTTCCAGGAGTCCTTGTCATGTCGATGGATATACTGGACGATCGGGTTTCCGTCCTGCTCCTGAAAGATTTCCGCAGAGAGACGCAGCAAGTAGGTGATCTCGCATCCAATAAAGTCATCTTCAACTAGCGATTTGAATGCCGTTATCTCCTCCGTGCTCAGTGTGCTCATACGCAAACGGAGACAATTCGTTTCCAGCCATTGGTCAACAAACATATCATAGAGTCCGACCCGGGTGACATGAAGGCTTGACAGGTCGTTATTCGAGGCAACCAGGCGAGGCAGAGCCTTGAGAGCAAGCGTGAGGAGGAACGGGTTCTTGACGAGGTCCTTGACATTGGGGATCGTTGTCAGCTTGTCCATGTACTCCTTTGCCAACCACATAGCTTGGTTCTGGAATAACAGTGCCGTATGTGGATTCTGCACATACAGCCCGACATAGTTCTCAATCTGGTCCTTGGAGAAAGGGGCAATGACGGCTTCCTGGAATAGATCCTTTGAGTCAGCGGCGTAGCGATCTGTCGGTAGTGGTTTGAAGCCATCAATATATGAGGGTCCGAGGAACTGGGTACGGCAGCTGATGACCATCTTGGTGTTCCATTGTCCTGGCTGGTTCAGCATGTTGGTTTGGTGCAGATTGGCCAATTGCTGACTCTCGTCGTACCCATCGCAGATGAGAATGAGTTGGCGGTGCTGCTTCATCTCCTGGATTTGGTCATCACTAAAGTTGTTGGCCCTCAGCTGCTTGGCGATCATGTCCTGGTCGGGGCGGTCGATGGCGGGAAGATTGATAAACAATGGAATGGGTCCGCCTTGCTTATAGTCGGTCCAGAGTTGATGCTCGAGATGGCGATTAAATGTCGATTTTCCGGATCCAGAGTCACCTAGGATTAACATCACTTGATGCTCGCTTGCCAAGAACTCCTGTACTTTCTCCAGGAGAGGAAAGGTGTCTTCGTCCTTGGCCCTCAGGCTGGCTTTGGCGAATGGTTAGATGTAGAGTGACAGGCGGCTCTGCTCCAATCTGATGACTTTGTGCTTGTGGAGATTGTATTCGAGAGGAGGGATATTCTGAACGCGAGCGAGCGTAGGGGAGGTTGCAGGCAGAGGAAGGCGGCTCCTGAGTGGGTAAGGAAGACGGGTGGCAGTTTCTTGGTCCTGGTCGAGGTCCTTGAGCAAGGTGTGAGCACTGGTACTGACGACCTGGTCAGTAGTGGTTCCGAGTTGGCGGATGATGTTTAGCATCCAAGTCCTGACGCTCTCATCCTGACCCCACAAAGGATCGTTCATGTACAGCTCTCTAAGAAGAGCGACGGCTTGCAGGCGGACGCTGGTGTCCCAGATGTTTTCGGAAGCGATCTCACCCAGCAACTGGCAGATACCCCATTGGAACAAGGGGTCACGACGACAGGGTGCCTCATAGATGAGAACGTTGAGATCCTTGAGTTGGCCAGCTTGAGCAAAGGCGTAGGCGGCACGGACGGCGGTGTACCACGGACGTTTCTGACCAGACCCCAACCCCTCCTTCATGCTCTCAAGCACGCCTCGGCCACTCTCCATCAGCGACCTGGCGCCATCATAGACACTACCAGTAACCTCAATGACACCACCAAGGGTCTCCTGCAGCTTGCCGAGTCCCTCGAGAACTGCTCCCAGATCCAGCTTAAACACCGCCGAGACTTTGACGAGCCCATCAACAACCCCAGTAGAATGTCGGAGGACGGCCTGCAGCGGAGTCTCGTTATTAGGCACATACTGCAGCGCTTGGAACGCATAGCATGCCTGATACATCAAGTAGGGATCTGAACTGGCCTTCAACCCCGACAACACCCCAGAAAGAGGTTCGTGCTCTTCAACTCGATCCAAGTCCTTGACCTTGTGCTCCACCATGACATCGAGCAACCTCGAGACAGCCAAAGTGAGATGGATGGGATGAACAGACGACTGCTGGTGTGTGTCCTGCAGACGAACTCTGAGTATACGGAGGATCTTGACCAAGTCGTCAGGGAGTAGAGTCTCGGAGGGAGCAGACTGGACCAACTGCACCAGACCTTGCAGCAAACCAACATCCAGAAGCGCAGCCTGGTCGAATGCCGTGATGGTGCAAGAGAGCAACCTGCGAAAATGCTCATTGTCGAGCACTGGACCAATAAGTACCATTTCAGCAATCTCGGTCGAGTCCTTGGAGGCGTCCTTTGCAAACTCATCCACCATGCAAGCCCCTAGGCAGCGCAGACGCTCTTGCTCAATGGGGTCTTGCTTCATTGCATGAAGCCAGGCAAGATGGGCAGGAGTGCTAGACCACAGGACCTGCAAGGAATCCTCTTGCTGGTCAATGGTGTCAACACTGTTGGAGAGCAAGCCAAGGCATAGGGCCAGCTGAGGGGTGGTGTCGATGCGGGAACCGAAGTTGGGTAAAGTGGTGAGGACAACAGGAGCGTTGATATTGTGCCGGAAGATATTCAAGCGAGATATGGCCGGCAGAGCTGACGGCTGGGCGCAGGAAGCAGAACTTTTGACCTCGGTGATGGAGACTGTATGTCCGATGTCAACACTGCTGGAAACTTCAATCTCACACTCGATGTCACCACTGTACTGAGTACTGACAGTTGAGAGGCGATAAAGATTTGCTTCGCTGCTAGCGGTGGACAATTGGTTAAGGGATGACTTGGGACTCTGCGACTGCTTGTCCCTGGGTTTTGGGGTCGATGGTCGAAGGATTCCGAACAGCTTATCCCGCTTGCGAACATGCTGGGAGGGGATGGACTAGTTGTCGTCACCTTCGTCAGCGTCGCCGCTTGCAAAGTCCGAAGGAATCAGGTTACCCTTGACAAGGATCGCCGCGAAGCCGTGACTGATGGATCGATCATTGACCGTCGAGGAGGGCTGAACTGCCTTATTGGCTGCTCTACCAATGCTGGCAAAGGCAGAGTTGGTGCTCGAATGAGATGTCGTGGAGCGGAGAGTCGCAGTGGATTGAGCGTCATGAGGTGACCCGAGTGAGACAGGATGTGTTTCCTTGGACATGGTGTGCGCGCTAATAGTAAACAGAGCAGCATGCGTGACATTGAACATTAGGACGTGTTACAAACATACACAAAGGCCAGAGAGTGAAATGTCTTTGTTGTCTCTGTTTACCTTGGAGGAAATCAAGTTCTCTGTTGGAGTATTGGAGACTGGACAGGGTTGAAACGGTGTGGTACGAAAAAAGGATTGAAGGCAGGGATCTACCGCATAATGAAAGAAAACAAGAAAAAAGAAAAGACGAGAAAAGAAAAGAAGAGAAAAGAAAAGAAGAAAAAAAAGCCCATTAGCCAATGTAGAAAGCGCGATACCCACCCGCGGAATTGAGTGACCAAATAACTCACAATGGGGAAAGAGACGGAGCTGATGCTGTTACTTGCTTGCTTGGCGGATTTTGCATGTGTTCGTGAAGAAATCTATATGCATGTGTGGAAAGTGTTGATCAATGCTTGTCCACGGTGGAAGAAAATCTTGCATTGACTAAACACTAGCAAATGACCAAGAATGGCCCTACCTGAGAGGCAGAGAGAGCGGGATTTTTTTTTTGTTGTTTTATTGTTGCTCTTGGTCTGTCGTGGACAGTTGCTTGTAAGACTAAGTGACCATGTTATTTTCAGATGAAGGGAGTTGGCACGCGCTAAACAGAAATACGGAGATGTTCTTCTTGCATGCAAACACGATTGTCCAAGTACTCACAAAGCAATCTCGTACCTAGTGGGAACGCTCTTTTATTTTTTTTGGTGTGTTCTGTATGCTGGCCAGATGGGAGAATGACAAGTAGAAGCAGGCAATTGCTATTAGGGGCTAGTGATTGGAGGGAGGAGAATTGAGGTTATGATGTGTTTGGAGTGATAGTCATTGTATTTGAGCTGGGATATTGGACGTAGGAGGTAGTACCTCTCCGAGCTTGGAGTGCTCGGTACTTCTTAGGTACAAGACGGACAGACACACAGGGAGGCGATTGACTGAGCGCGGAGAAAGTGCAGAGCACTGAAAAGAGAACGTTAGACGATGGACGGATGTTGAATGACCAACAGGTGCTAATGTAGGTAAGGTGCAATGAGAGACAAAGAGACTGATAGTGACGAAAACGAATGGAGATGGAGAGTAATGAGGAGGGGAGCAAGGTGAGTGTTGCAAAGTGGAAAAAGAGAGAGGGGGGAAGCAGAAGAAAGAAAGTAAATAAAGGGACGCCCCGTGGTACGCTTATAAGCATGTCTTGTTGTTTTTGTTTACTTGCGTGTTCTCTGACAGGGTGTGCCTTTCCTCTCCTTGTCCCTGACAGACAATGCAATCACCGTCTGTTTTTTTTTTTTTTTTTTTTTTTTCTTGTTATTCGTGGGATAGAAACGCCAACAGTGGCGAATGCTGGCACAAAATGATGCATTAAATGGCAAGACACTCGCAAGTTATTTGTGGAAAAGTCTTTTGACAGAGGACAAAAAGTCAAAAGCTCGAAAATGAAATGGGTGCGCGTCAAAGTAATCAAAAACTGATCTTCACAAATGGTCTTCGCCAGTCAAACAAGTACGTCTTGTTAGGAATCGCTGATGGCCACGATTTTCCAATCTGCCAATGGTAATTCAGAAGATAAGAAACAAGGAACCCCTCCACCTGCTGATAGTTTTCTTTGGTTGGCCTGGGTACGTATGCATGCGTCCTTTTTATGATATTTCATATTTGATGGCTGACTCCTTTTGACGCTCTCCTGCTGCTTAGAGAAGAGATATATATGTCTTTCATGGTCATGTCTACCATGACCGGGCAGGTCTAGAAAAACAGTCTTTCATCTTCGCTCTTCTTTTTCTTTCCTCCTCCTCCCCCTTTTCTATTTCAAGGTATAGAGTTGGGGCAGTGAAGAGTAAACAAGGGTCAAATACTGGACTGAACTTGACTCCATCCTACTTAGAATTACCCTTGCGCATGGACCACAGACTATGATATATGATATATCCTTAGTGGGATACGAAAAAGTGGCTGGAACCTTACTCGCCCTTGCTGCATAGCCATGAGACAAACAATAAAATATGTTAGGTATGCACAGTAAAAAAAGGGGGAGGGCAAAGCAGAGGTGCGCGTCAAATTTGTCCAATAGAGGATGTAGTTGGCAAGACAAGGATAATTATGTGTAGAAAAGCCAGAGGGAAGTAGGGGGGGAAGAAGGATAGCAGGAGGCTCATGATCAAAGTCAGCCATTTCATAGGTCGATGAATACCGATTGGTAATGCTTCCGACTCCATGCCGATGAGAATAGAGAATAAATCGTAGCGCGCAATCATTGTTGTAGTCCCCTTGCAAACCCCCCCCCCCCCCCCCCTAAATAACCATGGAAGAATTTTGGGGGACCGCAGCTGGCGATTCTATTTATCTATCTTTTAACGAAAAAGGAGGGGCTTGATGGGCACCTGGAAGTTGAAAGGAAATTTCCGACGATGGTGACATGATCCTTGAAGATGTTGTTTAGGTTTTTGGCTGGGTAGAGGACACAGTTTGTTGTTTCGAGGACTTGTCCGACGGCCTATAAACATTGTACGAGATGGGAACCCCACTTCATGTCCAATGTGACAATCTTTATTTTCTCAGCAAATCCAAAGATAAAAGAAAAAAAAGTGCAGTACGTAGAACCTCACCATCTTTTCGCTGGAACTTTTCCGCGAGCTCTCTCAGCATTCATTCCTATCTTAAGACCCCCATGAATAATGCTGAGAGAGCTCGCGGAAAAGTTCCAGCGAAAAGATGGTGAGGTTCTACGTACTGCACTTTTTTTTCTTTTATCTTTGGATTTGCTGAGAAAATAAAGATTGTCACATTAGACATGAAGTGGGTTTCCGTCTCTTGAAGTACAATGTCTAACACTTCGGATTTTTTTTTTTGGGGGGGTTTCAAGTCCCCATGTCCTCTCCCCCTTTCACACCTACATTCTACACTTCAACGCACACACACACACACTCCGTAATCACGGGCGCGAATACCTCAATCTCTATCTACCATACATAACCCTCTGAACTACAAACTAGGAGCTTCTGTCATCCCAAAAAAAATAAATTGAAAGCAGAACAAAATAGTGAAATTGATATGTCTTTCAAGGCACCCCCATAGACACGTTAAAGATCCTATACGTCTCTTCACTATCCTTTCCCGCAAACACGCGTCGCCAAAAACTTGCACACAAGTCCTTGGACTTTTTCACACACACACTCCACATTCTTTCATCTATTATCAACAATAATTATCTCAAGAAAAATGATGGCTTATAAAAGTACAGGCTCGGAGAACACATCCGGCACATCTACACTAATTCTTCGCGCCACATCAGCCGGCACATCTTCCCCCTCTCATGCTGAAGGCTCACTTTTTGTGCTTGGAAAGAATGAGCTTCTTGTTCCCAACAGGATTATAACTGAGCCGGGGGATGGGGTACTCATAAAAATGACCGTTGTGTGCCAGGTCCGGGCAGTTCTTGGGCGGGAACTTGTTGATCGTGGCAATTAGTTCGTTCACCCTCAACGGCTTTGTAATGTACTCGTCCTATCAAATGGAAAGGGGTTTTCACGAAAGAAAATAAGGTAGATTATTAGAGCACACTCATAATTATGGGTAAAACAAAGACATCAATAGTAATAAAAAAAACATGAGGAGGAGGCTTACCATGCCGGCAGCAAGACACTTTTCGCGATCTCCAATCATAGCATGGGCAGTCAAAGCAATGATCGGCAAATGATCAATGTTTCCATTAGTAATAGATCCACCGTCAGCAACCCTCCTCAGCATCTCCACTCTTCGAATCTCCTGCGTGGCCTCAAACCCGCCCATGATGGGCATCTGGACATCCATCAGGATCAGATCAAAATGCATGCTGCTAAAGAATTCGACCGCCGTCTTGCCGTTCGCGACAATCGTCACCTTGTGGCCGAACTTTTCCAGAATCCTAACCGCCAGCTTCTGGTTGACAACATTGTCCTCGGCCAAGAGGATGTGCAAGGGGATCGCATGCTCCGCGTCAGAGGGGAGGGCAGACGCAGATTCAAATGCGGGCAGGAGGGCATTCATGAGATCGGGCAGTTGGACGGGTGGGTTGAAGTAACTGGCAATGCCCAGGTCCTGACAGACCTTCATGCTGATGTAGGGGGTGGTCATCGACAGCAGCACGATAGGGAGGAACCGAAGCATGCCAATCTCCTTGATCTTGCGGATATCCTTGACATGGTCGACAATGATGACATCAAAGACCGACTTCTCGCTAGACGCCGACAAGGATGACGACGACGACGACCGCTCACCAGAAACCGTCGATACCAAAGCCGCAGCCTGTTCTAGACTCGACACATGTGTAGCCTTGAACCGGAGTTCCTCCAGAGTTCGCATCACAGAGTTGGAGATCGCCTCGTCACGCATGGTGCCCATGTACAGGATATGTCGTCCAATATAGGGCTTGGTCTTGAGATTGATCTGCTCGACCGACATGGTACCCGTGTTGAACCGCACCGTAAAGAAGAACTGGGATCCCTTCCCGAACGTACTGTTGACCCACAAATCTCCACCCATCAACGCGACCAGCCGCTTGGAGATCGACAATCCCAACCCGGTACCACCGTACTTCCTCGTCGTCGATCCATCGGCCTGGCAGAAGGTATCAAAGACAACCTCGATCTTGTCCGACTGGATACCAATACCGGTGTCAGAGACACAGAACTGGAGCTCAACACCGACATCAGTCTTGTTCTTGCAGAAACAATCCAGGACCACTGAGCCATCGGTCGTGAACTTGATTGCGTTTCCGATCAGGTTGGTAATGACTTGACGCAATCGCAAGGGATCACCAACAAGTTGGTCTGGGAAGTCGTTGTGGACGTTGTAGATGAGGTCCAGTTTCTTTTGGTGCGCCTTCACAGCCAAGGTTTTCAACACTCCAAACGCCTGTGCCCTGAGCGAGAACGGTGCCTGCTCGATCGTCATCTTGCCCGCCTCAACTATTATTCAGATTCAACACAACACAAATAAATTAGTAACGCATTATTTCTTCAAGGGCATCTGTCTGCACACACAATAAATTCCAGTGAAGGCACTTACTCTTGGAGATATCGAGGATGTCATCGATAATGGTCAACAACGAGTGAGCCAAGTTACTGACAATCACCAAGTTCTCGCGCTGCTGGCGCGTCAATTCTGTCTCCAGTGTCAAACTCGTCATTCCAATGATTCCGTTCATGGGCGTGCTACACGATTGCGAGAAAAATAAATGTAAATTAATTTCAGTAACATTTCTGCATTAGCCAACCAAGATCGAACCTTGAAAAAGCAAAACATGCAAACAGCAGAAGAAAGATGACATACCGAATCTCGTGGGACATGTTAGCCAAGAACTCAGACTTGGACCGGTTAGCCAACTCGGCAGCCTCACGCGCAGCCGTGTTCTTCTGGATACTCTCCCTGAGATTATACACCATCTGGTTGATCTTGGTCTTCAACGAGTCCATCTCTCCCGAGGCCTCGACAGTAATGAACTGTGTAAAGTCACCATCCGTCGCGGCAGTCGAGATAGAGGCAAAGGCTCGCACTTGAGCTGTCAGGTTGGAAGCCATCGTGTTGACATTGGACGTGATCTCCTTCCAGGTACCTCGAACATCTTTGACCTGTGCCTGGACACCCAACTTGCCCTCTGTGCCGACCTCGCGTGCAACTCGTGTCACCTCATTGGCGAACATCGACAATTGGTCCACCTAGAACAAACATATAAAGTATGAGTAAATGCCACTTCTCAGTCTTAATGCTTAGGCACATCCACGACATGCGATTTTACATATGGTCAAAAACGTACCATGGAGTTGACGGTCTTCTTGAGCTCTGAGATCTCTCCCTGCGCCTCGACATCAATCTTCTTGGACAAGTCTCCACTAGCGACAGCGGTGGTGACTTCCGCAATGGATCGCACCTGCGTAGTGAGGTTGGATGCCATCGTGTTGACGTTGTCTGTGAGCTCCTTCCAGGTACCGCTGACGTCCTTAACAACAGCTTGGCCGCCCAATCGTCCCTCAGTGCCGACCTCCAAACTGACACGTGTGACCTCAGCGGCAAATGTCCTGAGCTGCTCGACCATTGAGTTCACGGTCTTCTTCAGCTCAAAAATCTCTCCTTGAGCCTGGACATCGATCTTCTTGGACAAATCTCCACAAGCGACTGCAGTAGTGACCTCGGCGATGGAACGGACCTGGGTTGTTAAGTTCGAAGCCATGGTGTTGACATTGTCTGTGAGTTCTTTCCAGGTACCGTCGACGCCCTTGACTTCAGCCTGTCCTCCAAGGATACCCTCAGTTCCGACCTCGCGAGCAACACGTGTGACCTCAGCGGCGAATGTCCGAAGTTGTTCAACCATCGAGTTCACGGTCAACTTGAGCTCTGAAATCTCGCCCTGCGCCTGGACATCGATAGTTTTGGACAAATCTCCACAGGCGACGGCAGTGGTGACCTCGGCGATAGATCTGACCTGTGTCGTCAAATTGGACGCCATGGTGTTGACGTTATCCGTCAACTCCTTCCAGGTACCACTAACATCCTTGACGACGGCTTGGCCTCCCAACTTTCCTTCGGTGCCGACCTCAAGACTGACACGCGAGACTTCGGCGGCAAACGTCCTGAGCTGCTCGACCATGGAGTTGACAGTCTTCTTGAGCTCAGAGATCTCTCCTTGTGCCTGGACGTCGATCTTTTTGGAAAGGTCACCGCAGGCGACAGCGGTGGTGACCTCGGCAATGGATCGCACCTGAGTCGTCAAGTTGGACGCCATGGTATTGACGTTATCCGTCAACTCCTTCCAGGTACCACTGACATCCTTGACGACGGCTTGGCCTCCCAACTTTCCTTCAGTTCCGACTTCCAAACTGACACGCGAGACTTCAGCGGCAAATGTCCTGAGCTGCTCCACCATGGAGTTGACAGTCTTCTTGAGCTCCGAGATCTCCCCCTGCGCCTGGACATCAATCGTCTTCGACAAATCTCCACACGCGACTGCAGTGGTGACCTCGGCGATGGAACGGACCTGGGTTGTTAAGTTCGAAGCCATGGTGTTGACATTGTCCGTGAGTTCTTTCCAGGTACCGTCGACGCCCTTGACTTCAGCCTGTCCTCCAAGAATACCCTCAGTTCCGACCTCGCGAGCAACACGTGTAACCTCAGCGGCAAATGTCCGAAGCTGTTCAACCATCGAGTTCACGGTCAACTTGAGCTCTGAAATCTCGCCCTGGGCTTGGACATCGATAGTTTTGGACAAATCTCCACAGGCAACAGCAGTGGTGACCTCGGCAATAGATCGAACCTGGGTGGTGAGGTTCGAAGCCATCGTGTTGACATTGTCGGTCAACTCTTTCCAGGTACCACTGACATCCTTGACAACAGCCTGCCCTCCAAGCTTGCCCTCAGTTCCGACTTCCAAACTGACACGGGTGACCTCGGCGGCGAATGTCCTGAGCTGCTCCACCATGGAATTGACGGTCTTCTTCAACTCGGAGATCTCTCCCTGGGCCTGGACATCAATCTTTTTACTAAGGTCACCGCATGCGACAGCGGTAGTGACCTCGGCAATAGACCGAACTTGCGTGGTAAGGTTTGAGGCCATGGTGTTGACGTTGTCTGTCAACTCCTTCCAGGTGCCGCTGACATCCTCGACCTCGGCTTGGCCTCCCAGTTTACCCTCTGTGCCAACCTCGCGGGCGACACGAGTAACTTCAGCAGAGAATGTAGACAGTTGATCCACCTGTCGATTTAAAATGGACAAATAATTAATCAAGTATCAACTCCGCTTTCATTATCAAAGATCGTTCGCTGGTTTTCACAAACGACATGGGGATGAAACTTACCATGATGTTAATGGTGTTCTTCAAATCCAAAATCTCTCCTTGGGCTTGGACGTCGATCTTCTTACTCAAATCACCACACGCCACAGCGGTAGTAACCTCAGCGATCGATCTGACCTGAGTCGTGAGGTTAGATGCCATGGTGTTGACATTGTCCGTCAGCTCTTTCCAGGTGCCGCTCATGTCCTCAACCTCAGCCTGACCGCCTAGTTTGCCCTCGGTCCCGACTTCACGAGCGACACGGGTCACCTCAGCAGCGAACATCGACAGTTGGTCCACCTACAAAATACCAGCGCAAGAAGCTATAGTATTAGATTTCGGTATACACTACAAAATCATATCGACAAAAGTAACATCTGTAATCAAAGTCTTACCATAGAGTTAACGGTCTTCTTCAGCTCCGAAATCTCTCCTTGAGCCTGGACATCAATCTTCTTGCTGAGATCTCCGCAAGCGACAGCGGTGGTAACTTCAGCAATAGATCGAACTTGAGTGGTAAGGTTTGAGGCCATGGTGTTGACATTATCTGTCAGTTCCTTCCAGGTACCACTGACATCCTCCACTTCAGCCTGACCACCCAACTTGCCCTCTGTGCCTACTTCGCGGGCGACACGAGTGACTTCCGCGGAAAACGTAGACAATTGGTCGACCTACATACCAAAAAAAATAAAACATAGAAAAATAAATATCATCGCCAATAGTACGCAAGCACTCCAATCAAAATAAATAAACAAAAACATGCAACCCTACCATGATGTTGATGGTGTTCTTCAGATCCAGGATCTCGCCCTTGGCATTGACCGAGATCTTCTGGGTGAGGTCGCCTCTGGCGACGGCCTTACTGACGGTTGCAATATCTCGCACCTGCGAGGTCAGATTGGCGGCCATGGTATTGACGTTGTCTGTGAGCTCCTTCCAGGTACCGTCAACCTCTTCGACCTCGGCCTGGCCTCCAAGTTTTCCTTCTGTGCCGACCTCACGAGCGACTCGCGTCACCTCTGCCGCAAAAGTAGACAGCTGTTCCACCTACAAAAATTGATACAAAAAAACGCAAGTTAGATATCAGCGACTTGCACAAGGGAAGTAGACTCCCACAAACACCACTTGCGATCACTACTTACCATAGAGTTGATAGTATTCTTCAGATCAAGAATCTCTCCTTGGGCTTGGACGTCGATTGTCTTCGACAGATCACCACACGCCACGGCCGTGGTCACCTCGGCGATCGAACGGACCTGAGTGGTTAGGTTGGATGCCATGGTGTTAACATTGTCGGTCAACTCCTTCCAAGTTCCGCTAACATCCTTGACGACAGCCTGACCGCCCAACTTGCCCTCGGTACCAACCTCACGAGCGACTCTGGTGACCTCGGCTCCAAAAGTTCGCAGCTGCTCAACCATGGAGTTCACAGTCTTCTTAAGCTCGAAAATCTCTCCTTCTGCCTGAACGTCAATGGTCTTGGACAGGTCTCCACAGGCGACGGCAGTCGTGACCTCGGCGATTGATCTGACTTGGGTGGTCAAATTAGACGCCATAGTATTCACATTGTCAGTCAGTTCCTTCCAGGTGCCTCCGACGTCTTTGACCTCGGCCTGTCCTCCCAGTTTACCTTCTGTGCCGACCTCACGGGCGACACGTGTAACTTCAGCAGAGAAAGTAGACAATTGATCCACCTACAAGTTGAATATAAAAAAAATGATGGAACATTAATTAACTATTAATTTCGCACTCATTGGCAAACAGTGCTTGAGTATTACAAATGACATGGGGATGAAACTTACCATAATGTTAATGGTATTCTTCAAATCCAAAATCTCTCCTTGGGCCTGGACATCGATCTTCTTGGACAGATCTCCACAAGCGACGGCGGTGGTGACCTCAGCGATCGATCTGACTTGGGTGGTTAGGTTGGAAGCCATGGTGTTTACATTATCCGTCAGCTCTTTCCAGGTTCCATCGACGCCTCCGACCAAAGCCTGACCACCCAACTTGCCCTCGGTACCGACTTCACGAGCAACACGGGTGACCTCGGCCGCAAAGGTTCGCAGCTGCTCAACCATGGAGTTCACGGTCTTCTTGAGCTCGAAAATTTCTCCTTCTGCCTGAACGTCAATGGTCTTGGACAGGTCTCCACAGGCGACAGCAGTCGTGACCTCGGCGATTGATCTGACTTGGGTGGTCAAATTAGACGCCATGGTATTCACATTGTCAGTGAGTTCCTTCCAAGTGCCTCCGACGTCTTTGACCTCAGCCTGTCCTCCCAGTTTACCTTCTGTGCCGACCTCGCGGGCGACACGTGTAACTTCAGCAGAGAAAGTAGACAATTGATCCACCTACAAGTTGAATATAAAAAAATGATGAAACATTAATTAGCTGTTAATTTGGCATTCATCGGCAAACAGTGCTTGGGTATAACAAATGATACAGCGATGAAACTAACCATAATGTTAATGGTATCCTTCAAATCCAAAATCTCTCCTTGGGCTTGGACATCGATCTTCTTGGACAAATCTCCACAAGCGACGGCGGTGGTGACCTCAGCGATCGATCTGACTTGGGTGGTTAGGTTGGAAGCCATAGTGTTCACATTGTCCGTCAGCTCTTTCCAGGTTCCGTCGACGCCTCCGACCAAAGCCTGACCACCCAATTTGCCTTCAGTGCCGACTTCACGAGCAACACGGGTGACCTCGGCAGCGAACGTCGATAATTGTTCCACCTACCAAAGATACATATGAAGAAAGGATACACACGTTAGTCAATGCCCCAATGCGATATTTCCATCACAGTCAGTGAGTACGCAAGTAATAGAAAACTTACCATGGAGTTGATGGTGTTCTTTAACCCCAGGATTTCGCCCTGGGCTTGGACGTCGATCGTTTTGGAAAGGTCTCCACAGGCAACAGCAGTCGTTACCTCGGCAATGGATCGGACTTGCGTGGTCAAATTTGACGCCATGGTGTTGACGTTATCTGTGAGCTCCTTCCAAGTGCCGCTGACATCCTTAACGATGGCCTGACCGCCGAGCTTGCCTTCGGTACCAACCTCACGAGCGACCCTGGTGACCTCGGCTCCAAAAGTTCGCAGCTGCTCCACCATGGAGTTGACAGTCTTCTTCAGCTCAGAGATCTCTCCTTGGGCCTCGACATCGATGGTCTTGCTCAGGTCTCCACAAGCGACAGCGGTGGTGACCTCAGCGATGGAACGGACCTGAGTTGTCAAGTTCGAAGCCATGGTGTTGACGTTGTCGGTAAGCTCTTTCCAGGTACCACTAACATCCTTGACAACGGCCTGACCGCCCAGCTTGCCTTCGGTACCTACTTCAAGACTGACGCGCGAGACCTCCGTGGCAAAAGTACGCAGCTGTTCGACCATTGAGTTCACGGTCTTCTTCAGCTCAAAAATCTCTCCTTGGGCTTCTACCTCAATGGTCTTGGACAGATCTCCGCAAGCGACTGCGGTCGTGACCTCAGCGATCGACCGGACCTGAGTTGTCAAATTGGTAGCCATGGTGTTGACATTGTCTGTGAGCTCTTTCCAGGTACCGTCGACGCCCTTGACTTCAGCCTGTCCTCCAAGGATACCCTCAGTTCCAACTTCGCGGGCAACACGCGTGACCTCGGCAGCGAACGTCCTGAGTTGTCCGACCATGGAGTTGATTGTGTGCTTCAACTCTGAGATCTCGCCCTGAGCCTGCACGTCGATCTGCTTGCTGAGGTCACCACAAGCGACAGCAGTAGTAACCTCTGCGATTGATCGTACCTGGGTGGTGAGGTTGGAAGCCATAGTGTTGACATTGTCTGTAAGCTCCTTCCAGGTACCACTGACGTCCTTGACCGTCGCCTGACCGCCCAGTTTTCCCTCGGTACCGACTTCCAAACTGACACGGGTGACTTCAGCGGCAAAAGTACGGAGCTGTTCCACCATCGAGTTGACGGTCTTCTTGAGCTCAAAAATCTCTCCCTGTGCCTGAACGTCAATCTTCTTCGACAAATCTCCGCAAGCAACGGCTGTAGTGACCTCAGCGATCGAACGGACTTGGGTAGTGAGGTTCGAGGCCATGAGGTTGACGTTATCCGTGAGTTCCTTCCAGGTGCCGCTAACATCCTTGACATGGGCCTGTCCGCCCAATTTTCCCTCGGTACCGACCTCGCGAGCGACTCGAGTCACCTCTGCCGCAAAGTTCCGTAGTTGGTCGACCATAGTGTTCATTGTCTCCTTCAGCTCGAAAATCTCTCCTTGAGCCTGGACATCGATCTTCTTTGACAAATCTCCACAAGCGACAGCGGTGGTGACTTCAGCGATGGATCTGACTTGAGTGGTGAGGTTGGAAGCCATGGTGTTGACATTGTCCGTCAGCTCTTTCCAGGTTCCATCGACGCCTCCGACCAAAGCCTGACCGCCAAGCTTGCCCTCGGTTCCGACTTCGTGGGCGACACGGGTGACCTCTGACGAGAATGAGCGCAATTGGTCGACTGTTGTCGTGATTTGTTTTCGTCGTTATTGTTGTGATATTTGTTGGTTTGTAGTTGTTGTTGTTGTTGTTGTTGTTGTTGTTGTTGCGATGACATATGTGGGTGTCCAGATAAGGTTGTGTTCAGTGGTCGTTACCGATTGAGGTGTTATTGCAATTAAATAATTCCGCGAGAAACATTGAGCCCATGCGAATTTCGTCCGCAGTCGCCAAATGCAAAAGATTTTCCAATAACGATGATCCAGGGCACACAGATTGGGAAATAAAAGGATAGAGGGAAAAAAGGATAGATGATGTCAGTCGCAAAGAAAAACACAAAACACAAAGGAGACAAGAATGTGTGGGCTGTCATGTCGCCATTGTGCCCAACAGACAGCTGCTCAACCGTCGGATACCAAGATGAAAGTATAAACACGAGAGAAGAAAAACGAGGACCCCAATCAGATTGGCATTCAAGAAAGAAAACGATAGGTCAGGGATACTTCAGGGGTCCTGTTAAGAAATGCGGTATGTCAATCAAGAGAAAGAGAAGGAAAGAAAAGACGACGCTTCGTCTGAATTGTTCAGTCCCTCGATTCTCTTGCAAGGAATGCAAAAAATACAACACCCCTCTCACCAGAAGAAGATAAGAAAAGCGAAAGGCGGGGATTGAAATGTGCCAAACAATGCGAAGAGTGAGAGGGGTTGAGCTGCAAGTTGCTTCTCACGTCCGTTCGAGCAGGTGAAGGGCATGAGGCAGGGAGGAAAAGAAAAACAAAAAAAACCAAAGGAAATAGAGGTCGATAATGCACGCGTCCTTGTGTGTGGCTGTTTGGCAATGGATAGTTACAAATGTGTGTTTTGGTTTCGTTGTTGGTCGGCTTGTCGCCATTGTTGTCTTGGTCGTAGTCGCTCAGAGGGTTTATTGGCCGCCTTAACAGGGTTGCCCTTTTCCTCCTCTTCATGCCATTTTCATTCAACAAAACGGCCTAAACATATAACAGGAGCGCATGCAATGTGATGTTCATTCAATTCTGCTCCTCCATTCATGCAAAAATAATAATATCATGCCCTTTTCTCGAGATGACGAAAATAATGCAGGACAATAACACACATGCACAGCACCACTTTTTTTTTCCTCCTTTGCTTTCCTTGTTTGTGCGATAAAGAAATCCCTACGCCATTGCACCCGATATCAGAAACCGAAGATGAAAACATACCCATAGTGTTGATAGTGTTCTTGAGGACGAGGGTTTCGCCCTTGACGGCAACAGTAATCTTTTGGCTAAGATCACCGTGGGCAACGGCAGTGCAGACAGAGGCAATGTCACGCACTTGCTCCGAGTGGCTGACGGTCAAGGTGTTGAGATGGCTGACAAACTCTTTCCAGATACCGTGCTCATTCTCCATGTTGGCCTGGACACCGAGGTTGCCCTCGACTCCCTGGGCTGCGACACGAATGACTTCCTCTGTAAAGTTGGACAGCTTAGCAACCATTGCGTTGATGGAGGTGGCGAGGAAGGACTGGTTGCACGCAGGGCGATCGCATGTAATCCGAAGCGATAGGTCTCCTTGGACAACAGCAGTAGCAACGAGGGCGCAATGATGGATGCAGGCGGCGCAAGGGACCTCTTCCATGGACAAGTTGGCACCCGAATAGGAAAGGGCTGAGAGCACTAGTGCGGACGGTTCTGAAGGAGGAAGGCCTAGGCTTTGGCCTGGGAGACCGGGGGCCAGGACAGCAGCTGCAGGTGCAGCAGGTAAGACTGCAGGCTCTGGAGGATCGAGGAGAAAGGATGAGAGCGCAGAGTTGAAGGAATCAGGGGAGGAAGGACGAGACGAGTTGGACAGTTCACCAGGATGAAAGCCCAAGTAGGGCGACATACCTCCATCGACACTCTCGTAGGATGAAGACAACGGCGACAGGCTCCTGTGCTGGTGGTGGTGAGAGTGTAGGATGCTGAGAGAGTTAGTGGTAGGGAGAGAAGTAGAAGAAGAGAGTGGTGTGGGCGGGGGTGGGGGTGGGGGTGGAGGCAAGGGAGCCGGCATGGGCATGCCACCTGTGGAGCTGTCAGAGCTGCTGATATGGCTACTACTGCTGCCAGAGAGCGAGGCGGCATCGCTGTAGGAGTGCATTGATGGAATAGTAGAGGGACCGTCAAGGTCGATAGAAGAAGAAGGGCGGGCAGAGTATGGCGAAGGATACGAGGTCGAATTGTCGTTCATAAAGTCCCAGGTTGTCGACGTAGCAACAGCGACACCACCTTTGGTGCCGGCAGCCCATCGGTTTGAGGTGGAAATGGATGAGGAGAGGATGTCGACTGGAGGGGTGAGAATGAGCGGGGCACGCTGTTGCATGTGATTCTCGACACTTTCGGTTGTGGTTACAGTTGTGTTGGCGTTTTGTTGTAACCGGAGACGGGCAAGGTCGCCTTCGATGAGGAGGATCTTTTGGACAAGACTTGAGAGACCCAGGTCGACTTTGGTGATTGCCGGTGATTGTTGTGGTTGTTGTTGTGAAGGAATGTTGTTGTTGTCGGTTGGTTGTTGAAGGGAGAGAAGGGCGGGAGGGAGGTCAGAGTGGTTGTCGTTGAGGAGGGCGTCGATGATTGTTGCGACGTGGTCGAGGTAGAGCTCTTCTGCGGTTGTTGTTGTTGCCATTGTAATTGAGCTGTGTACGTGAGTGTATGTGGGTGTATGCAGGTGATGGTAGATTGTTGGTTGTTGATGAGAGAGAGGGAGAGAAAGAGAGTGGAGGGAAACTAGAAGGGTATGGTTAGAGAGAAAGAAGGAGGAGGGGTGAGGACGATGGTTTGGAAGAAGAAGAAGAACGAGTTGAGTGAGTGGAAGTGAGAATAGAACTGAGTGGCCATACCACTTCTGCTTTGAGGGGGTTAAGAGGGTATGGGAGGAAGGGTGGAGAGGGAAGGGTGAGACAGATAGAATGAATGCGCGGATAATAAGAACCGGAGTGAGGATGAGGGTGAAGGTGGAGAAGGATGGAGGAAGATAGGGAAGGGAAGAAAGAAGCAAGAAAAAGGGAAGGGAAGGGAAGGGAAGGGAAGAGAGAAACAAGGAAAGGAAAGGAAAGGAAAGGAAAGGGAGGGAATGGTGCAGGGCGAGGAAGGGAAAAGGAAAGGGAAAGGGAGAAAAAGGGATCTCTGTTCTCTTGTCTGCGTGTGTCTGTCTGTCTGTCTGTCTGTCTGTCTGTCTGTGACAACAACAGAACACAACATAGAGGAGAGAGAGATGAGAGCAAAGAACAACGGCCCATCAGAGGACAGGGGTGCCAGGGGTGGTCACTGTAGTGTAGCTTTGTAGGACATGGGTGACACCTGGACAACATCTACAGGACACTTGGGCATGTCGGAGATGCAGTGTGTGTGTGTGTGTGTCTCTGCGTGTGCGTTAGTCTGAAGGAAGAAGAGACTGACTATTTATTCAAAGGGAACTGAGACGCCCATGGACCATGGACAATGCATTTTGACGACAGATTCATACACAGACAGAGAGCACTCGACAGAAGGAGATCGGTCATGTTGCTATAGCTCTCTCTTTCTCTCTTTCTCTCTCTCTTTCTCTCTCTCTTCCTCTCTCTCTCTCCCTCTCCCTCCCTCTCTCTCTCTCTCTTCTGCTTTCTGCTTCTGCTTTCTGTGTTTTTCTTCTTGCTCGATCAATGATCAACGACCGAGAGTTGCTGGTGCCGATGGAGCCACTGTCCTGGGTCATATCGCACCCACCCACTCACCCACCCAGGATGAGCAATGAAAGAGACAAAAAGGAACATTGAGAGGAGGGGTTGGTGTGTTCTCTTTGGCAACAAAGAGGCAGAGACTAGCTAACTGTTACCTAGTCTTGTTTTCTCCTGTTCATAGAAAAGAAAGGACCCAACAACATGCCGCCGGTGAGTTGGTACACATCGTATGCATTAGGCAAAGGATCATCCATTCACACTCATGCATTGCCTTCCCAAGAAAGGTCAGTTGCTGGCTTGTTTTCGCCTTGCTCGGGGATTACAGACCTGTCTTTTTTAGCGTACTTTTCAATTGGAGATAGAAAGGGGCGATGAATAAGGGCAAACTATCCTTTTCTTGTTATCTCCCACGTACGCGTGTCCTCTGTCTGTGTGCCCGATGTGTTACCCGCGCACAAAAAAGGAACGTGAATGACAGACAAACCCGCCCCCACTGTCAGTCCCTCAGTCAAGTCAGCCATACACCTAATCTCCCTTCTCCCTCTCTCCATCGCCCATTGCCCATTGCCCCAGCCCCTGAATGAAAAGAACCCCTTCACTAGCGCACTTTTTTTTTTTTTTTTTTTTTTCCATACAAGAACAAAAATAAAAGTTCAAGGGTCCTCACATATGGTTTTATTTTTTTCAACTGGCCAACTCTCGCCGATCCATTCGATCCGAATGGCTGTGTTCATGTTATTATATTTTTCATTGTCTTGTGATCGCATCTTCCTCTTGTCGCTTTTTTTTTTCTTTCGCTCGCTGGTCCTTCTTTTGTGCGCAACAGACATCACGCACTTGTTCAATTGCGAAGACTCTCTGCCGCTACCCCAGATCCCCTCCGAGAATAGACCAGCCCGAGTACCTTCCACGTCATACAATAGGGTAAATACCATCTAAAACATGTACACACAGCTGACACAGTCAAAAAATGGGCGTCAGAAAGAGGCAATTGACCTCCCGCCACCTTCCTGGCTTGTGAGGGGTCTCCTCCAGAACTCCGTATTTTTTTGAAATGCTTAGCCCCGAACAAAGCGTCTATTTCTATTGGTAGATTCCCTCCTTTTAGTGAAAGAAGTGAACAATTGCCAGATCTGGTGTTTTGGATAGGTGCTCTTCCAACCAGCTCCTTGCGGGGGGTTTAATTTTCCTTCTTCACCGTCTCTTGCACGGCGGCAATGGCATGAGAAAGAGGTTTGGTTGTCAGCAGACACCAAAAATCTCCCGTTGGTTCATGACGTTCAATTCGTTCCAGTCATTCCTTTCCTCTTCGTTCACCAACACCGAATGATTCTCTCAGTCCCGCCTCTGCCACATTCTTGGCTGTTGTTCACACTGGCCCCTTTTTGGTTATTGTATCGCTTGATCACCCTGTTTTTCATGCACTTCTCATGAGTCGAGCAAAAAGAAAGCAATGACAAAATCAAAGACCCAGTTTTTTTTTGCACATGAACCAAAATCAAGTAGCGCATGTGTCTGTGAATGGTTGACCGATAGAGGTAGAGAGCAACGAGGGAAGAAGGAGCTGCAGGGGGATCCTTTTTCAGAGTAATACGATAGAAACACGGTCAAGGGATCATCGATTATGTACGTGTCATGGACGTATTCCTTATCTCATTTGCCTCTGGGAACATGATACGGAGCAGGAGGGATGCATTGCCAAGTTACCGATGTGCTTTGCCAGACCAACTGTGCCGTGATCCGTAAATACGTCAACCCAGCCCAACCACGGCATAACGTTGGAGGACATGAACGTCCATTTCATCTATCTACATTAGGACATTAGGGAGAGATGAAAAGGAGAGATAAAAGGAGATGTAAGGAGTAGATGTGCGAAAGACATGTGCTCTGTGCTCTTCTCTCTCTCCCTCCTCCCTCCTCCCTCTTCCTCATTTTTTTCTCACCCTCCTTCCTTCTGACTTTCTATGCAGGAATTGACCAATAGGAGACGAGGAAATAAAATGAAATACGACAAGGTGCACGGGAAAGTTCATTTTTCCTGCTCTTTGTTTGTCAACATTTTTTTTCTCTTCTGTAGATTAGAAAAGCGCACCTTCAGCGCGACACGTAGGCTACCAAGCAAAGGAAGTTAAGTAGGAAGACCTTTCATCCTCGATATCCTCAAGACGACACCAACGCCTGATAACAAGAAATAAAAAAATAAATACAACAGCCAACCATACACAGTTCACCCGTTGAACAATTGAATTAAACCCTGCAAACCACAACAGCCGCGCGGCTAGTAACCTTGGCAGCTACAATGGTTAATGACCATGGTGGTAAAACAAAAACAACAAAAACACCGATCACATTGGGATCACATTAATGCACCCGATACCTCATGTCGTGCTGCATCTGCATTGCATGGCATTGTTTTTTTTGCCACATGTAAAACAACAAACAAAACTAACTCTATCGAGTCTTGTCTTGGCGTTCCGAATGAGCAAGCGCTCCGCGGCGTTTTCTTTTTGTCTGGTGGGAAAGTCAGGGTTTGGCAAGGCAGGGGTAGCTGATACTTTGCTCGCTCTTTTCAGGGGATAACGTCGTAATCGAGGAGAAAAGCCAAGGTTGGAAAACGTAGAAGAGAAACAAAATACATAGCTAGTGGATGTAGCTTGTTTTGTCAGGTTCAACTCTTTTTGACCCGATACCTTGCCCTATTTTCAGTTTAGGATCTGTCCCTCCTTGAAATTATAACAAACAGGGAGAAGAAAGAGGCGAGTTCGGTACACATACACACGAACACTACTTTCTTGTTTCGAACATGAATGATTTGTTTACGTTGTACATCTTGACCCCCTTCGCTTGTGCTTCCTGTTGTTTCGTTGACTCAACAGGAGGAGAAACGGTTGGTTAAAAAGTTTTTCCTCCCTTCATGACGAGAAGTCGTAACTGGCTGTTTTGCATTTCTAATCAAATGCTCGAATGTCTCGTGTAACAACACTCCACTCCACTTTTTTGTGCTTCTCCCTCACATATGCACGCGTTTTTCGCTCTCAATATCGCGCACTTTTTTTTTTTTCTTCTCCGTTCAACAAAGCAAGAGTCGACAGCTGCAAAAGAGAAAACATTTCACAAAGAGGTACCCACTCGCTGTACTGTAGTACATCTCACTCTTTGTTTATTTTACCCACCCTGTCTAATGTTTTACGGCTCACACAGCCTCGCTTTGTTGGGTAGCTGTAAGGCACCTCTTTCAACTTTTCCAGAAGCGCATTGCCCAAACACATCGAAAAACGGAAAATAAATGCTTACTCAAGCACCAACCCTTTCAAGGTAGAAAGGGTACAGTACCTTGAAAGATTGAAGGTGCTGTTATCGTGTTCACAGGGAGTGAAACAACAATATTTTACTCGCGCGCGCGCCAGTGTTGGTGGTACAGCGGTACATACATGGTTGACTATGCCTACCCTTCTACAGTACTTCACTCTCCGAGCGTCAAGCCCTCCCCTGGGATTTACCCGATTTCTATGCAAACAGAAATGCTTTCATGCACACCATCTCAAGAAAAGAGAAAAAAAGAGTGTTTTTTCGGCTAGTGAGACCCTGTTTGGTGGTAGTACAAACGGTTTACTGGTGTGCGTGACCTTATCCAACCCAATCCCTTCCCCCCAGCAGCAGCCCTCTCGCAGCAATATTGCTTCCGCACAATGTTCCTTTTGAAAGGTAATTTAACGTCATTGCCTCTCTGTTTTGTTTGTGTGTAGGTGTCAACGCCGAAATGAGCCCTCTCATGTTTTGTTCATTTATTTAACAAGGTTGTCAAACATCAAAAATGAAAAAGTTTGCCAAGGTGAGATAATAATTTCAAAGGCTTTCATGGAGGGTTCAAAGGATGCAGGGGTCAATGAACGAGGTGAGTGGCTAATGGCTGTCAATTAAGCCCAGTAATGCTTCACAAAGGGCTAAAAGAGCTGATTGTTGGTTT